CGGAGCTGGGTGGCGGGGTGCCTGCCGAGAATGTCGGCACACCGCCGAGGGGGAGGAGCCCCGGGCGGCGTCCGGCACGGCGGGCCATTTTAAAAAGGCTCACCGCCAGCGAGGGAGGGGGCAGCCTCCTTGCAGAGAGGGAAGAGAGCCCCGAACGCAGGACGGACCCCAAGCTGCACCGAGGCCGGCAGCCAGCCCGCCTCAGCCCAGGGGTTCCCGGGACAACCACCGCAGCTGGCGGTCGACTAGTCCCGGTTCCGATGGAGATTGAACCCTGCCCCGCTGGCCCTGGAAGGAACGACCCGGCAGAGATCGGACACGGCGGAGGGAACGGACCCACGACGCATCGCCGGAGCGACTCCGGACCCGGGCTCCTGAAGCAGGGTAGGCTCCAGGAACTGGGCCGGCGGTACAAAGGTACCCAGGAAGGGAGGAAGAAGCCCGGGGCGGGGCCCTTTTGGCGTCTGTGGGTAGACGGGTTACAGCAGAAGTGATCCCCGTCTACCGCGTCGGGGCACAAGCAAGCCCCGACGCTTAGGGCCCCGGGCTAGGACCCGGAGAGAGGGTGGAACCAGGTCCCCCTCCCTCGCAGGCGTGCGACTGAGCAAGGTGACCATCGCACGAAAGGGATTGGACTGGGGGCTCAGGCCCCACCCCGCAGAGATGGGTGACAACTGCAGGGTCCACTGACCCCCCCCTCCTCTGGGGAGGGGGTGATCGCACCCCATTGACAGGGCGTATAAACAGGGGCCCTGGGCAGGATAATGGCGGAAGGAAGGGCGGAGGGGTTCACTGAGCCCCCCTCTCGCGCTGGGAAGGGGTGATCGCACCCTGAACTGCCCACAGTTGGGAAGCAGCCCATGAGAGAAGGGACGGCAGGGTAGAATCTCATGAGCACAAGGAGGGCCTCTTGACGGTCCAGTCCTGATGGCCTGGCGCCAGCCTGGACATCCCAGTGACCCAGGCTCAGCAATGCAGACAGAGTCTCTGGAGTGAAGTGAAAGCCTGTCCCTGAGGAATCCCAGGGGTCTGCTCTCTGAGTTTGGTCCCCAAAGTCTCTCTTTTTAAAGCTCCAAACAGGCAGAGGTAGGGGTGGGTGGGTGGAATAACCCTATTGCAATTAGGAGGAACTGCACCGGTGTTCTGCTTGCTATTGTCCGGCAAGGAGTCCCTGGTAGGTCTAGGCACAGGACACCCACACAAACGCTGCACCCAGAGAGGATAGGAACACCCAGCCAACAGCCAACACTAGACAGAATTAATGACTTTTATTGATTATTGATGTCTGTTAAAATGTGACGTGCCATAGCTGCGTGTTGAGTATTAGTACAATACAATAGTACCGTCATCACGGAGAGGGGACATGATCACAGCTTTCAAGAACCTAAGAGGTTGTTGCAAATAGAGGGAGAAAATGATTCTCATTAACCTCTGAGGATAGGACAAGAAGCAATGGGCTTAAACTGCAGCAAGGGATGGTGAGGTTGGACCATAGGAAAAACTTCCTCCCTGTCAGTTCTCTGGCCTGTGCTAGATGAGGGAAGTGGGAGGGGGACTCAGACGAGATGATCACTGTGGGCTCTTCAGGCTCAGGACACACAGCTCTCCAAAGGCCAATGTCCCATTGAATGGTCTGCCCAGGCAGCTCCAGCCAGCGCAGCTCATGTCGAGGCCTAGGCCCAGTCTTCCCTACTTCTGTCACAACCTGGCCTGGGGGTAGCTCTCAGAGAACATCAGGTCTCCTCCAGATGGTTTGTCTCATTGCTGGGCTCTGAGAGGGGCTCTGTCTGTGGGGTTGGGTGTGCTGTGTCTGGGGACAGCGTCCCTTCATCACCAGCTACTTTAGATGCTCTTCACCTGCAAAAAAGGAGACTGGGTTAACACACCAGGGCCTGGTTCTCCCTAGATTTCCCTTCCCTTGCACTACAAGGCAGTCTCTGAATGGATCCCCTTTCCCAGGAGCAGGGACATCCACACTCTGGGACCATGGGCACAAACACAGTTGGGCAATCGGCCAGTCCTGAAGCAGGGACCCCGTTGGGGCCATTGGAGGGAGCGCGACCTGCACAAGAGTAGCAGGCTATTATCTCAGAGCCTGGTGCAGCAGGTGGACACTGGGCTGGGACTCAAGAGGCCAGGATTCGACCCAGCCCCTCTGCCTCAGCCTGGGGCGGGGAAGTGACTTCTGTGCTCAGCACTGACTGTGAGAGGACAACACCAATGCTCCTACCTGCAGCATGGACCCCAAGGCACCAAACTGCATCTCTGGGCCAGCTCGGACTGCAGGCAGGCAGTCTCACCCCATGCCGTGGAGCACAGGCCCACGAGCACCACGCTGCAGCCCTGCGTCAGCACTGACTGCAGGAGGACAGAGCTCCCTGCAGAATGACCAATACCTCCCGGCAGCACACACAGGAAGTGATATGCAGGAAGCTCACCTGAGCACACAACGCTGGCATCTTCTCCATGGTTACAATTGTGTTCTCCCCATGGCCGAGCCTGGCATTCTTCTAGGCCCGCTTCTGTGCCTGTGCACTGAACCTCATCCAGCAAGATAATGTCAGATCCTTGCCCAAAATGAGCCGCCCCTGGGGCTGATAGCGCCGTCCCACAGCCCAGCTGCCTGCACACGACTCCAGCATCCTGTAGGTCCCAGCTGTCATCACACACGGTTCCCCACTTGTGGTTGTGAAGCACCTCGACTCTCCCAGCGCAGTGACTGGAGCCGTTCACCAGCCGGAGTGGAACAGTGTCAGGGATGACCGAATCTGCAAATGCCCCATGGGAAGAGACATTCAGAGAGAGTCTTCTACATCTGATCACTAAGGCTACGTCTAGACTGGCATGATTTTCCGGAAATGCTTTTAATGGAAAAGTTTTCTGTTAAAAGCATTTTTGGAAAAGAGCGTCTAGATTGGCACGGACGCTTTTCCACAAAAGCACTTTTTGCGGAAAAGCGTCCATGCCAATCTAGACGCGCTTTTGCGCAAGAAAGCCCCGATTGCCATTTTTGCGATCAGGGCTTTTTTGCGCAAAACAAATCTGAGCTGTCTACACTGGCCCTTTTGCACAAAAGTTTTGCGCAAAAGGGACTTTTGCCTGAACGGGAGCAGCATAGTATTTCCGCAAGAAGCACTGATTTCTTACAGTAGGAAGTCAGTGCTTTTGCGGAAATTCAAGCGGCCAGTGTAGACAGCTGGCAAGTTTTTCTGGAAAAGCGGCTGTCTAGACACAGCCGAGATGTGGGGGAACATGGCACCTCACTGACAGCTCTAGAGCCACATGGGACATGACATGGATGAGGATCACCTGATGCTCAGCACTGGTGTGTTCTCCACAGGAGATGTTTAAGAGCAGGTCAAATACTTGCCAGGCATTGTCTCGACGGAATCATAGAACTGCAAGGAATCTCAAGAGGTCCTCAAGTCCAGTCTCCTGCACTCACGGCAGGACCAAGCACCATCTAGAGCTGTGGTATGCCACCAGTTCTGAAGCAGTCTACTGCCATAGTGAACTAGCCATACTCAGCTGGCAAAATAGCCACATTGTTTAAGCCAATTAGTCAAATGCAACCAGCAAACAGCCACTAGTGGCTAGTGTGTTGGACACCATGGTCCCTCACAGATGTTTGTCTAACCTGCTCCAATGATGAAAGGGGAGTGGGAGCGAATGATTAAAACAGGGATGGTCCCAGGATCTATCTAGGGCAAGGGAAGGCAATAAACAACCCATGGGCAGTACACAGCTTGTCAGGGTTAGTCCCTGAAGGGCGGCCAATGCTCTATTTATCTTCATGCCCCCTTGGAATGAGGGTTACCTGAGCACACAACACCCGCATCTTCTCTGTGGTTACAGTTGTGCTTTCCCCAAGGCCGTGCCATGCATTCAGAGATGGCAGATTCTGTCCCCGCGCAGGTAACCTCATCCAGCCAGATATGCTGAGAGCCTTGTCCAAATTGAGCTCCGCTTGGGGCTGATAACGCCATCCCACAGCCCAGCTGCCTGCACACAACTCTGGCATCCTGCAAGTCCCAGCTGTCATCACACACAGTTCCCCACTCCTGGTTGTGTAGCACCTCGACTCTCCCAGCGCAGCGACTCGAGCCGTTCACCAGCCGGAGCAGAATCTCGCCTGGAGGGGCTGAATCTATAAGAACATCCAAATATAAAAACAGCCATACTGGATAAGACCAAAGGTCCATCTAGCCCAGCATCCTGTCTTCCAACAATGGCCAATGTTAGATGCCCCAGAGGGAGTGAACAGAACAGTTAATCCTCAAGTGATCCTTCTCCTGTCATCCATTTTCAGCCCCGGCAAACAGAGTGTAGGGACACCATTTCTACCTATTCTGGCTAATAAGTATTGATGGACCTAACATCCATGATTTTATCTAGTTCTTTTCTGAACTCTGTTAAAATCCTGGTCTTCACAACATCCTCTGGTGAGGAGTTCTACAGGTTGATTGTGCACTGAAAAGCTTTCTTTTGTTTGTTTTAAACCTACTACCTATTAATTTCATTAGGTGACTCCTAGTTCTTATGTTATGGGAACAAATAAATACTTTTTCTGTATTCACTTTCTCCACACTTGTCATAATTTTATACACCTCTATCATATCTCCTCTTAGGCTCCTCTTTTCTAAGCTTAAAAGTCCCAGTCCTTTTATTCTCTCTTCATATTGCAGCCATTTCAAACCCCTAATCATTTTTGTTGCCCTTTTTTGAACATTTTCCAGTGCCAAGATAATGTTTTTGAGATGAGGTGACCACATCTGTATCCTTTAAAAAAAGATTCCTAACACTCTGTTTGCTTTTTTGCATGCTGCTGCATATTGAGTGGCTGTTTTCAGAGAATTATTCACAATGACTCTAAGATCTCACTTTTGAGTGGTGTGGCCAGATCTCATGGGTAGTAGAGTGGCCTAGTGGTTAGGTCCTGGAGTTAGCTAGTGCCACTGGGACCCAAGGCCTAGGAATTCCAGCCTCTTAGACCAGAATCTAATTCTTCAGTGACTATAGCTAGATTAGTCCCCATCATTTTGTATGTAGAGTTGGGATTATTTTTTCCAATGTGCATTACATTGCATTTATCAATATTAAAGTTCATTTGTCATTTTATTACCCGATCACCTAGTTTTGTGAGAGCCTTTTGAATCTCTTCACATTCTGCTTTGGTCTTAATCATCTTGAGCAGTTTAGTAGAATCTGGCTGGATGACGAGGAGGAATAACAATGAGACTGCCCTGAACTGTGACAGAACCAACACCCATCCCTGCACCACAGAGCCCTGTTGCACCAGCTAGGAGGTGACATAGATGAGAGTTACCTGAGCACACGGCATTCGCATCTTCTCCGTGGTTACAGTTATGATCTCCCCAAGATCTAGATTTGCATTCAGAGAGGGAAGCTTCTGTCCCTCTGCAGCTGACGTCATCCAGCCAGATACGCTCAGAGCCTCGTCCAAACCGAGCCCCCCCTGGGGCTGAGAGCGCCGTCCCACAGCCCAGCTGCCTGCACACGACTCCAGCATCGGTTAAGTCCCAGCTGTCATCACACACGGTTCCCCACTGCAGGTTGTGTAGCACCTCGACTCTCCCAGCGCAGCGACTCGAACCATTCACCAGCCGGAGTGGAATCTCTCCTGGAGGAGCTGAATCTAGGAACACCCAAAGGAAGAGATACTCAAATGCCTGTGCATCAGATCTGAAAGGATGCTGTGGAAAGAAGTGCTACCCTCTGATGGTTCTTGCACCGCCTTGTTGTGAGGTGGATAAGGGTTACTTGAGCAACCAATATTGGCATCTTCTCCATCATTACAGGGTTAAAGACACAAGGGTAAATTAGGTGTCCCTGGAAACCTTGATTATCATGAGCATCTACAGCATAGTGGGGTCCTTGCCCATACACAGCCCCATTCTAGTGTTGTGAGCCAGCAGGGTCTGGGATGACTCAGATGGCAAAACATCTTTCACAGCTCCAGTCCACACCCGCTACTCCAGACAGTCATCCTCACTGGCTCGCAGGGCTAACCCAGAACAGAGAGGGGAAGACATCCCCTCCCACACTCAGTCATCCTCCCCACGGCCTGCATGACGGTAGTGCCGGTGCCACAGGGAGGTTTTGGAGACTGTGCCCCATGGCCAGACTGGCTTAAACATACCGCAGGATTAATGAGCCACATTCAACCTTAAGGGACAGACAGTAGGGAATGTGGGTGTATTTGTGTCTTTCCATGCATATTGTCAGAGGAGAACTGTAGAATCAAATGGCTCCCGTCTACAGTGTATTCATCTCTGTTTAAAGTCTATGGCAAATCATCTGTGAATGGCTGTCTCTTACGTCACCCCAATCCGTGTAGCTAATTCCTGGTGATGCTGGGGAGAAAGAGCTTTTTGGAAGAATCCAGGACTGAATGGTGGAGAGGCTGCTGGAAAGCTCTACAAAGACCTGATCCTTTTTACTTTCAATCTCACTTACGCTTTATCTGGGAAGGTTTTAATCCATGGATAGGAGATCTCCAGGCCTGCTTGAATCCCTCTTGAATGATCAACACTTGACTATAATCTATAGGCTAATCCTGTACCCACTTTTTGCACCTCCGAAGCTCCCAGGACAGGATACCAGCACTATTCTGGGATGCAGCGGTCGCTACAGATTCTATGATGACAGCACCCAGAGAAACCCAGACCTGAAGTGCTCGTCTTAGGGTGTATCTAAACCACATTTCTCCGTCGACGGAGCCATGTAGATTAGTCAGGACGGCAAAGGGAAATGAAGCCGTGATTTAAATAATCGCAGCTTCATTTACATCAAAATGGCCACTGCGCTGTGCTGATCAGCTGATTGTTGGCTCAGTGCGGTAGTCTAGATGGCGATCTCCCGACACCAGAACCCTTCATCGGAAGATCCTTTATTCCTTGTGAAACGAGGCTTACAGGATCTGCCGACAAAAGGTTCTGGGGTCGGTAGATCTCCGTCTAGACTACTGCGCTGAGTCGACAATCAGCTGATCAGCACAGTGTGGCGGCTATTTTGATGTAAATGAAGCTGCGATTATTTAAATCATGGCTTCATTTCCCTTTGCCGTCCTGACTAATCTACATGGCTCACTGACGGAGCCATGTAATTTAGACGTACCCTTAGTAATTTAAGCATTTGCTAAGACAGAGCTGAGCTGGGTGCCTGCTTAATTACAGTAATACTGTAATTAGTGTCTGCAGAGACAAAGGCCAGCCTCATTAGCCAATCTCTCTTGGTAGTAAAAATTATGGTATACATGGTGGAGAGAGGCCTTTTGACATGGAAATAGCCCAGCCAGGAGGGAGAGAGACAGGGCTCTCCACAACGGAGTGGTGATGGCTCAGGAGCTGAAAGCCTAATTTTGGGGCACTTACTGGACACGGACAGGGAATACTGGTGAGATTGCCCTGAACTGTGACAGAACCAACACCCATCCCTGCAGCATAATATGCCCCGTAGGAGGTGACATAGACGAGGTTACCTGAGCACACAGCACTCGCATCTTCTGTATGGTTGCAGTTATGTTCTCCCCAAGTTCTAGAGTTGCATTCGGAGAGGGCATCTTCTGTCCCCCTGCAGCTGACATCATCCAGCCAGATACGCTCAGAGCCTTGTCCAAACCAAGCCTCCTTTGGGGCTGATAGCGCCGTCCCACAGCCAAGCTGCCGGCACACGACTTCAGCATCGGTTAAGTCCCAGCTGTCGTCACACACTGTTCCCCACTGGCGGTTGTGCAGCACCTCGACTCTCCCAGCACAGCGACTCGAGCTATTCACCAGCCGAAGCGGAATCTCCCCTGGAGGGGTTGAATCTACAGTCCCCCAAAGGAAGAAACACTCCAAGTGAATTCACTGCTTCAAATCACAAAGATTGCTGGTGTACGCGGGTCCTCCCTCAGATGGATCCTTTACCACTTCACTTGTGAGATAGATAAGGGTTACCTGAGCAGCCAACACTGGCATCTTCTTCAGGGTTATAGTGCTGGAGGTTCAAGGGCAAATTCAGTGACCCTCCATTGTCAAGCAAAGACAGGTTTAAAAGCCTGTCTCTGGACATATTAGGCCAAAGTTTCTAGTCTTCATGAACACCTACAGGGTCCGTCAGAGTCCACATACATCTAGTGGGGAATCCTCTTTCTGTCAGGCTCCATCTTCCATCCAATAACCAATTGGCACAGAATAGAGGCAGTAACTGCTGAATCTGCAAATGTCTGAGTGGGACACTTGAGCATATATCCCGTTTTCACTGCAACAACCCCCTTGGCAAGCCCTGTCTCAGTTGTCCCTGTTTCTCTAGCAGAAGTGAGCGTTTGCTCCATTTACTTGGGCCAGCTTGGTTGGCTGGCAGAAGCAATGGGAGAAGAGCCCATTTTGGCAAGAGAAGTGATGTGCAGAATATTGCCTCTTGCTGTGATGGAGACAAAGGCGACAGCCAGGGCAGGGTTACCAGAGCGCCCCACGCCAGCATCGCCTCTGTGGTTAAAGTGTAAGCGAGTGAAGGGAAATTGCCTGACTGACGGGGTAAGAACCAGCTTTCCCATGGCGCCTCCTCCCCCCATGCTGTGTCCCTCACAGGCTCTGTCCATCCCTGCTGTCTTAGTGTCATAGCAGGTGTGGAGAGCTGAGCCCTGGGTCCCAGAGGAGCTTTGGCAGTAACAGTCATCCCTGCCCCCCATTCCTGCCCCAGTTCCAGCAGCCTGTGTGCTCTCAGAGGATGGGCACCCACCATGACCCAGACACTGCCCAGGGATCAAACCCCTTCCCCATGTGGAGCTACAGGATGTCCCTGCCAGAGGGTCAGTCACAAGGGCCCCGGTGGGGTCTTCCCCATGGGCTGTGTGGGGCGCCCAAACTCAGAGTGTCTCAGAAGCCAAACTGAGATCCTAAGGGACTTGCTGGCTGGTCTTGGCTGGTGCCTTGGAGCTGGGGATGGACCATGGTGACCAGAGAGGCAGCACCTGATCCCAGCTCTGGGACTCCTGCTTTAGCTACTAGACCCCACTTTCCTCCCAGTGCCGAGGACATAACCCAGGAGTCCTGACTCCCCACCCTGCTGGGGTGTGTGAGTAGCAGACAGTGTGAGTGGAATCTTATTCTGACACTTGAGGGCATTTTCCCTCCATAACTCTGCCCCATGGTACTTGAGAGGGTGTCAATCCCAGGCCCCGCTTGTCCCATCCTCTGGGCCTGCCCGGTCCCCTTTTTCCTCCCCAGGCAGACTGTGCAGTGATCACCCAGCGAGGCCGCACCTGAGCACTCAGCCCTGTGTTCCCAGAGTGCCTGCCTGAAGGGTAGTGAAGCACTGGGATGGGTTCCCTAGGGTGGTGGCGGAATCTCCATCATTAGAGGTTTTTACGTCTCGGCTTGGGTTGATTTAGTTGGGGTGGTCCTGCATGGGGCAGGGGGCTGGACTCAATGACCTAGGATTCTTTGATATGCACTTGGGCAGCTGCCTCACTCCTGTGGCATTCTGGGTCCTAATGTCAGGTATGTTCTTTGCTCTATGGGTTAAGTTTAGAGGTGAAAGCAACACGGGTGTTGGTGTGGTTGGTGTCTGCTATAGACCACAGGATTAGGTGGATGAGGTAGACGAGGCTTTCTTCAGACAACTGAGAGAAGCTTCCAGATCACAGGCCCTGGTTCTCATGGGAGACTTTAATCACCCTGGGTATGTCTACACTACAAAGTTAGTTCGAACTAACGGACGTTAGTTCGAACTAACTTTAATAGGCGCTACACTAGCGCTCCGCTAGTTCGAATTTGAATCGAACTAGCGGAGCGCTTAGTTCGAACTAGGTAAACCTCATTTTACGAGGATTAAGCCTAGTTCGAACTAGCTAGTTCGAACTAAGGGCTGTGTAGCCCTTTAGTTCGAACTAGTGGGAGGCTAGCCCTCCCCAGGTTTCCCTGGTGGCCACTCTGGCCAACACCAGGGAAACTCTATGCCCCCCTCCCGCCCCCGGACCCCTTAAAGGGGCACGGGCTGGCTACGGTGCCCGTGCCAGGTGCAAGCCTGC